ATCTGCGGATTAGATGCAGTTAGAATACTTAAAATTATACATGTTCTTTATTTGTTTAGTCAAACAAAATACATAAAGATCACATAAGGTAACCACACTGTGACATAAAACAAGTACAAACATAAAATGACAATTAAACCATTATGCATAAAGGAATTTTGAAACATAGTGAATCAACAAAACAGGTGTTTTCTTAGGAATGCTATCAGCACCACAACCCAACTCCCACTGTGTGCATACACTTAAAGTGGACAGTTATAGCACATACATTTTAGTGCAAACAACCACTGTATAGTGTTATAGAACCTGGATGTCCAGCTTGAATGTTTTTAAAGAAGGGAGACACTAAACAGTCGATAAGTGGGGTGAGAGCACTTCTGAAGAACCTTGTATCTCGTTTCCCAGCTGATGTAAATTTCAGCACTTAAAAAAAAAAGAAAATTATGTTTCCAAATCTAAAATCATTCAACAGTTGTAGCACAAATGGTCGTGTCTCCCACATACATCAACTACATCAGAAACTTTCTGTCTATTGAGAGAAAGTGCATCAGACAAAGTACAGAACTAGACACAGGTCTCTTAGGTGGTTCAGTAGGTGATCATCACAACTAATATCTGTAAAGCTCTTTCACTGTGCCACCTTCAAATTACATAATTGTTCAATTATACCAGTACTCATTGTTTTTTAACCTCCCTGACAGTTAGGCAGTAGTTGTAGGCTGGTTGGGAACCAGAGAGTGGTTTAGTTTTGCACTTATTTAAGTTTATAAGCTTAGAGTTTGCTTTAATATGTTCAGGTACAATAAACAACAGTCTTGGGAGTCCTACAGTTGCATGAAGCATCACCACAGTCAACAGAGGTATGGATAAACACAAAGAGTGTTTGGAGAGTTTTGCCTCCATATTTCACAATAACAATACCAACATTTATTAAGCCTCAGAGTATTAAAACATTTTAGGAAAGAAATCTCTAAGATTCCATGTACATTGTTACAAGAATATAAAAAATTACCAAGAATCCTGCTCATCATTTGTTAGTGTGATGTTGTTAGTCTGCACTTACCATTTAGCAGCTATTTTCACTTTGTCTATAAAATGTCAAAAAATGTTGACTAAAAGTGGAACCCACTGATTTTGTATTAGTGAACTGAGCAGTCAGTACAGCTGAGCTTCATTTGAGGACAACCTCACCTTTCATTTATCACAGGAGAAAGATGCCTCAGTGCTGTTTCCTGTGTTCCCTATTTAACATTTTCACAAAATCTTCAACAAATTCCAAGTGACCAGTGAATCTTTGTTGTTCTTCTTTCCCTTTTTCTACTGAGCTACTGAAATTATAACATCTTCTCTGACATGTGTTAACACAGTTCGCAGACCCATCCTATATTTTCTAAATGCAAAGATGCTGCTGGGCCGAGTGATCAGTGTATATGTGTAAATAAGGCTCTCTGTTCCCTACGACAAAATGACCAAAAAAGGAGCGTAGGTGGCTGCAACCATTAGTTTATCACAAAAAGCCTTGCTCCTTTGAAATCCCGTTAGGCCAGTTATCAATGCAACTCAAGAGTCAGGCTTAGGGAGGAACCTAGGGGAAGATCCTGCTCGCTGTGTTATGAGGCTTTAGCTGTATAACGAACATCACACTCTGTGCCTCTTGATAGAAACATCAGGAGGTAGGATTATGCATGTTAGTGATCCCCCTCTGTTCTCACTCTGCTTTCAGGGCTTAATGTTAACATCTGCCCACCGAGAGTCACAGATGAGTTGGAAGATTGTGCTGAATGTCTTCCATTCAGATGATTTATCTCATCACTATAATGGACTATGCATGTTATTTAGATGACACTATAATGGAGTCTGAAGGGGAGAAAAACTCAGGCTTTCTGATGTTGATAGAAACTGAGTCACGTAGGCCTAAAATACCTGATCTTCATCACACAGAAAAAAAAACGCTCCATGAAAGACCTTCAGTTTTTAGTTACTTAAGTTTTTATTATTATTATTATTATTATTATTATTATTATTATTTGCCTTTGCTTTGAGTTCAGCTTCAACTGAATGATTTTAGATTTTTATCTATAAATTCTCACAAAAACAAAGGAGAGTTGTTTACACTGATAAAAATCCATTTGCTGTTTAAGAGTGAGTTTGGATAGGCCACAGGGTACAAGCAGAGGTGTTGGAGCTTCGGGAGGCGATAAATAGTTGTTATTTTTATGCTGTGGCTCATGTGTGGGCTGGACTGGTTAATATGATGAAAATCTGCATATTCTAGGGAACAAGGTGAAGCCACGGGGTGTTCACCAGCTGCTAAAAGCTCTCCTAACAAATGAGGTCCTAAACTGAGGAGCTTCATAGGGATGTTAGCTGGCTGTTTAACCTTCCCCATAGCCTGTTATAAAGGCAGTCAACATTACTGGAAGGATATTTAGCTGAACTCACCCTTAAGGTAACGCGGGCTACGGTTGACTGTATGTGTGTGGCAGTCGTATGTGTGGCAGTGAATCATTGGATTGGACCTTGTTTATTTAGGGGGGCTCCCTTTGGTGCTCACTTTGACTTTGGACAACCTATGACACTACTGTGTTCAAGTGCTGGGAGAGGTGAGAGATTAAAGGAAAAACCTGAATAAATGAGAAGGTTCTGTCTATGCTCAGCAAGACAGAGGTGTAACGTGATGCGTACAGTCCCTGCACCTTGCTCCTAACCACAACAGTATTTTTCTGTGGCTACAGGTGGGCCTGGTATTTGAGTAGGCATATACTATAGCAGGCATTACTCGTAGGGGTGTAAGTTGTAGTAGGGGAAGGGTTGTTTCATCTAATGTGAGTCAAATGCAATGGCCCTCACAATAAGCAGATCACTAGCCAGTTGAACACCTGTATGAGACTTTGGGTTGACATATACAAGTTGGACAATATACACAGATCATCCATAACATTATGACCACCTGCCTAATATTGTGTAGGTTCCCATTTTGCTGCCAAAACAGCTCTGACCTGTTGAGGCATGGACTCCACACAGACCTCGGAAGGTGTCCTGTGGTATCTGGTACAGCAGATCCCTTAAGTCCTGTAGGTTGGAGGGGTGGGGTAGGACTTGTTTGTCCAGCGCATCCCACAGATGCTCGAATGGAACAAGATCTGGGGAATTTGGAGGTCGCGCCAACCTTGACTTCATTGTTGTGCTCCTCAAACCATTCCTGAACCATTTGTGCAGTGTGGCAGGGCACATTATTTTGCAGAAAGAGAATACTGTTGCCATGAAAGGGTGTACTTGCAACAACAACGTTTAGATAGGTGGTACATGTCAAAGTAACATCCACATGAATGGCAGGACTCAAGGTTTCCCAGCATCACACTGCCTGCGCCAGCTCGCCTTCTTCCCATAATGCACCCTGGTACCATCTCTTCCTCAAACAAGCAACGCACATGCAACCTGGCTGTCCACGATGTAAAAGAAAACATGATTCACCAGACCAGGCCACCTTCTTCCATTACTTCCTGGTAGGGTTCTAAGGCCTGATGTGACCATTGGAGGCGCTTTCATCAGTGGACAGAGGGCCGCAATAGCCACTCTGGCCAGTCTGTGACTATGCAGCCCCATATGTGACAGTAGCTCTTCTGTGGCGTTGGACAACATGGGCTAGCCTTCGCTGCCCACACGCATCAGTGAGCCTTGGACATTCATGACCCTGTCACCGGTTCACTGTTTGTCCTTCCTTAGACACTGTTGGTAGGTACTAACCACTGCAGATTGGGAACGTCCAACAAGACCTACAGTCTGGGAGATGCTCTGACCCAGCTGTCAGCCATCACAGTTTGGCCCTTAAGTCACTCAGATCCTTACAATGGCCCGATTTTCCTGCTTTCAACACATCAACATCAAGGACTGCATGTTCACTCGCTGCCTAATATACCTCACACACTGACAGGTGCTATTGTAACAAGACAATCAACGTGATTTACTTAAGCTGTCTGATCAGAATATTATGGCTGACTGGTGTATTTGTGAGCTATTTGGCTAGAACTGAATGGGCACGGGGTTGAGTGCCAAGTCACATCGGTTAACATGTTTATTTTGATGACATTGTGAAATATATACACCACTACCAGAAGGTTCCCCCCACCCCATCCACTTCGCAGCATCTACACTCTAACTAATGGAAAATAAAACAGCAGTGACATAAGGTACAAGATATGGTAGTTTAATTGTTGATTATCTCTCAGTTCAGAAATATCCAACATTCTTTCTGTAATTAAAGTTGGCAGCTTTGTATTGATTTTGAAGTGGCATTAAAAGAAATGTCTAGGGTTTAGCAGTGAAACTGCTCATCAGATAACATTAGTAAAGAAACATGCCATCACTGTACAAGAACCTTTCACAACACAAATAAATAGCATTCACTTAAATGTGACTTAAACATTCAGACTGGAAAAAATAAAATGTTGTTGATGGTATTACACAAAATTTTCTGATTAAAAACAAAATAGTACAACAGCAAGACTGCTCAACAAATAAATGGTCTGAAATAGCAGAAGTCAAGTGCCTCGAGCTTGAATATCTTAAACACAGCACAAAGCTGAACATTACACCATCTGGTTTAATCCCAAATGTTTTTACTGAGCGTTTTAGCTGCTATTACAAACTACACTGATCAAGTATTTTTGTTTTCATTCTTCTTGCCTGATTTTTCATCTAAGAAAATGGGAAAACAAGATGAACAAATGGCTTCCACACACTAACATTAAAATCTTCTAATTTTCATGTGGATTACTTTTGTAAGCAATTTACCAAGGTTATTTTCCTCTAAGATATGCCATATGATATGAAAGGATTTTCTTGAGACTATGAAACAATGTTGGCAAACACTGTGTTACAATAAAATGAACTTAATACCAGGTTTTAAAAAAAGGTCAACAGGTCCATTCGTCCAATTCTCATTCAACAGCTCTCAAAATGGCACAACAATCTAATCTGTTATCAGTGTACATTAAACATTATTGCTTCTCAGTTTAATGCAAAAAGACAAGCTCAGACTTTTCTGCAAACCTGAATAAAGCCAAACATACCCCACAAATCAGACCAACAGCTGCACATATATAAAAAAGAAACCTACCCGCATTTGAAACAAACACACTACTAGGGAGATGTTAAAAATGTGGAGGGGTAAAATAAATAGACAATCAAGAAGACAAACTCAATATTTGGCAGGTATGCACAAAGTCAGTCTGTAAACAGAACATCATCACATGGAGAAATAGTGCCCTAAAAAGTTCCACAGAGATCACTGTTCTGTTGGAGGCAGCAGTGGCTTTATGACTGAGGAAGTGGAATACTGCACACTGTACACATGTCCTCTGCTCTTGTAACTCACTGTGCACCTCTCTTGCTCCTCCCACCTCCAGCTACAACTTGGCAAAAAATACAAAACAAAACAAAACAGAAGGCCATTGAGGGGGCCCTCTGTAGCCTACTGAGGTGAATATTCAAAGAAAGGGCCCATTTATAGCTTGATATATGCAAAGATGAATTCCCTTTCTGTCTTTATTCCTTTGTAGTACAGAGGTGTGCTTACTACCGGATCCTGGTGAAGAGGTTCAGTACAGACACTGATTCCTACAAGAAGGAGGGAAATAAACACATCACAGATAGGAGAATGTAACAGATGGATGGAACAGACCAACCAAAGCCAAGAAGATGATCTCAGACCTAAATGCAAGTGAGAAATAAAGAATAAATACCTTAGTGGATCTCATCTTGCTAAAGACATTCCAAAACCGAAGCGTTTCATCTCCAGCACCGGTCACAATTGCCTCACCATCAGGGGACATGGCCTGCACATAAACTCATTATTATGCACCCAATAAAACTGTAGTTTTACAGTGTGTAATCAGGGGCATGCAAGAGTAGCATTTTGTTAGTTCCCTTCTTGTGTTGCTGTTGCCAATTTCTCAGATAGCTTCTTAATTATTAAAAAACATCCAGAAATTTTAAGTGAAGAATCAAAATAATCTAATCAGTTCATTCATTCTTGCTTACCAGCATGGAGGCAAAAACTATTAATACACAACATTTTCTCTGATTCACTTTGTTCTTACTAATGCTGCTGCCTTTCTTCATTCACCCTCTAGCTCGCTCAACCACCTCTGCTCTCTCTCTCTCTTAGTGGAGTGGATTTAGGGCTGGCAGTGAACTTTGGATACAAATATAAAATCCTTACATCACTGGCTTGTCCCAAGTTTATTTGGAACTGGTACAGAGAAGATGTGGTAGCAGCATGAGCCAACACAGAATGGCTGGAAACTGGTTTGAAATGGAAATAAAAAAAACTGCTCATCCTCTGTGCAGAGGAAGAAATTACTAACAAGACAAATAGTAAAGGTTATTGCTTTTTTTGCTATTGTGTCTGTCTGTGATGGTGGATATTGTGTGAACACTGTGGCTGTACCCAGCTGGGTTCTGATATGTTAGAACAAAGCCTTGCCTGAATATTTGTGCACAACAGTTCTATTTATGAATGCCAAAAAAAGCAACTGCTACACAGCTACCTGTGGCTTGCAAATTCTCAGCTACCATGTCTGAAAGGGGCTATACATACACAGAATATACTGACCAGGTAGAGTACTCTGTAGGAATGTCCTGTAAGTTTGGCCACTTGAGTTAGAGAGGGATACTTCCACACCAGGATCTGGTTCTGGGAATAACCGTGTGTGCTGACCTGCAGGAAAAAAATATATATTTTTGCAAACATTTACCATATACACATGGCCAGATTAGGACATTACATGATGTCAGATATGCTCAATAATTGCATCTTGATAATTCCACTACAGTATAGAGGAATGTTCAGCATAGCTCCAAAAATGTGTTATTTACAGGCTGCATTTTGTTGGCTAGCAATGAAGTCACCAAGAGATCCAAATGTTTTGTTCAATAACTACTGTGTGAAAACTGGTATCTTTACTATGAAACCAGGACATATCAAATGATTCATGCAGGTCGTATGCTAATAATTTTATTTGAGACTTTTCATTTGACTCGAGGTAAGACAGAAAACAAGCAATTTCCCCAGAATGTAGTTTACTATACTATCTTGCACAATCTGCATTAGGGTTGCAACAACTAATCAATAAAATCGATAACAATAGTTGGCGAACTGAATTATCGATTAGTTTGGTCTAGGCACAAAGCTGTATGAGATGGCTGGGCTGGTGACTATGTGACTATGTCAGTGAGGCATACGAAAATATTTGAAAAACGGCTTGTTTTTATAAAGTGGAAAATAGATTTCTGCATGCTTTTTATACATTTGATTAATCGTAAAAATAACAGACAGATTAATCTATCATTAAAATAGTTGTTAGTTGCAGAACTAATCTGCATGTTCTACTTCTGCATCCACTTCACAGCAGGACTGTCGGCATAACAGACTTCAGGTAACTCACCAGTTCGTTAGTGTGCTTAGACCAGGCCAGGTTGCAGACTTGAGAGCCAGTGTCAGTGCACTGCAGAGGCTGGCCAGTCAGAGTGTTCCAGAAGCGGATGCAGCGATCGGCGGTGCCGCCTCCGGAGGCCAGTAGGCCGTGCTGGTGGGGAGACCAAGCGATGGCCTTCACTGCAGCCAAGTGCTCTGTGTACTGCTGCACTGGGAGGACGCTCGAATGGTTCCATACAAGCAGCTACAGAAAGTAGGTTGAAATGAGAGGAGGAAGAGAAATAAATTGTCTTATGAAAAGGTTTTCCTGATATGGACCTGCAGCTGGCAGAAGCACAGGTGAAAATGTCTGTCTGCATACCTTGTTATCATTTCCACCTGAAGCTAGCAGCTGGTGGTCTGTGCTCCACTTGAGGCCGCAGACTTCCTGTCTGTGTCCTTGGAGACGGCGTTCAGACTGGAGAGGTGGGGCTCTGATATCCCGCTGCAGGATCACCCGATCACGGCTCCCAGATGACAGCTGGTCTGCATTCCATGCCAACGCACCTGGCAGTGGAGAATGAAATGCAGGTTGTTAGGAAGATGACTTACTGACCGTGAATGAGCGATGTTGCCAAACACCTGTGTGAAGGGGCTTTCAGACAAAAAGCAGTTCGTGCTATGCTCAGACTTGCGCTGTGCTGGTCACAGGGCTCAGAGTAAGATAGGTGGAGTTTTCATGTTGTCCCAGCTCGCTCCGAGACCCTCAGTCAGCAACAAAGACGTAACGTTGTGTTTCACTAGCTGACTTCTATTGGCTTTTAAACTCATCCTTTACATAAGTGGAGAAAATGTGACAAGTTTTTGTATAAAAACGACACCTCTTTACATCATTACCTAAATTAAGAATCTTTATTAGGTCTGTTAATCTGCTGGGGGAACATGTAACAGAACTATATTTACACATACTGCCTACCTACAACAAATTGCCTGACTGTTAAAACACATGGGACATGCATTCAAATGGAAATCTGTTTCCATAAGGTCCAGGGAATTGTACGTAATTCAGTGCAACACTTCCGCCTTAACATCTGTGTTTATGAAGCTGAAAATATTTCAGTTTTTGGTGAAACTTGTCATAAATGTATAAATTCAATGATATGTTTATTACTGAGGTCATAGCTAAAGGTGGTTTTCTACTGGCCTACACCTATGTATATTTAGTGGTGTCTCTATATTTTTGTCCTTGCCAGTTACATACATGAGGGTCAGAATATTAGGAACACATATTAGGATTTCAATATCAAGAACCCCTGCTCTATATCAACATATATACTACTCTATATTCTACTACTGTAAATTTGGTCATATAATGTTAACTCTGGGAATTCAGACACACTGTTCCTCCATTTTGTCTTTCATGCCTGGCTGGATGACTTGTTTCTACTGGCTCCGTGGATTTATGTCATAGTGCACAGAGGTCAAAGTTCAAATTAGTCGAACTTTGACATATGTCCACCTTGATCGTATGTCCCATAGATAAACAGTTATGTCGCAGCACAAGCCATTGAAAATAATAGGCTTCAGAGTGCAGCGGTGCCGTTGCTGCTTTCTGTCTGAAAGCACCTTGATGTAAAATGACTCCCACAACTGTCTCTGCAGCCTCTCAACTCACCCACTCTGGCTGTGTGCCCTTCTAATACAGATAGCTTCTTCCCTGCTGCTGCATCCCAGATCTGTACATAGGCTTTATGAGTCCCCACTGCCACCAGGTTGCCCTAAAATATATATATATATATATAAACAGCACAATTTGAATATCACATAAATACATTTAGTCTATACTGACAACAGTTTTTAAAGAGCCTGGACACCAAAGCTCAATTTGAAACTTTACTAAAAATCAAGCACCAGCTGAATCTCTGAGTAACTGTCAGTAAAAGTGTGACTAGAGTTTTTGTGTGCAGGCTCTGAGATCCTGGATGTTTATTAATTCAAGTTTATAGACTATAATAGCTCCAAACTCACCCTCTCTGACCAGCCCACTGATGTTACTGAATCTCCTTCTACAGAAAGGTCACACAGACGTGTCACCTAAAGAGATGAAGAGGAAAAAAAAGATTAACATGGGCATTGAAGAGACAGTTCAGTAACATAACATTTTGTTAATATGTATTATACAAAACCACATGTGAAATCTTTCACAGATCTAATGTGATTAAAACCATTATTTAACAGAATAACTGATACACTCTTAGATCTTTTTACCCACAGCTGAAGACCTCTACTCAAGGCCCCTTAGCCTTGCTCAGTGCACTCAGTTAATAAATCGCACACACCTGGCTGGTGCAGGCACTCCACAGGTAGACACAGGTTCCCAGTCCAACACTAAGCACGTTCAGAGAGGACCAGTCCACTAGGTTGAGGTAGAAGTCATCCTGAAGCTCTGGAGCATCCAAAACTTTGAATGGAATTTTGGATATTTTGCGTGTGGGTTTTCTTGGCGATCGCAGCAGTTTCTGGCTGCAATATACAATGCAGATTAGTAAGGAACAAGATATCAGTTATCCTTGAAGAAAGGCAGAACATTTGATGAATGGGTGTGGGAAGCCTGGCCAAGGTGGCAAAAAAGTAGGAGGAGGCAGAGACAGAAAACATTTTCAGGTTCCAAAAGAGGTGGTTTATTTACAAGTGTGCCACCATGATGCCCGTGTACCAAAAGAATATTCATTAAACAACCAAATAGTTAAATCAGCTTAACTGAACCTCAACTTAAATAATTTAAGAAATTGACAAATGTACATGAAATAACTGGGGACAAATGGAATGTTCTCACCCACTTTGTCACATAGGGATGATGTCTTACCTGTTGCTACTGACGGGTGATAGAGAATATGGAGAGACTGTGTTGCCATCCTCTTCTGGCAGAGCTCTCTTAGTACTCACTGAGTACTACAAAACAAAAAAAGATAATTACTAAGCAGGAAAAACACCCCACAAAATAAATGCACTTAAAGCTGACTGTGTTTACACTAAAAAGGCTCCTCTTGGCAGGAGTAGAGGGCTGCAGACGGCGATCTTCTGACTGAGGGTCCTGGACTTTCTCGATGCCTGCTCCTAACAGCTCATTCTTCAGGAGAGCAGAGTAGGCCAGACCATCCGCTGAAGGCAGAGGAAGAGACAGAGGAGGAATCAGACCAGGCTGCTGAAATGATTATGTTCAAACACTGTGCTCCCTCTGCAATTTCTTAGCTTCTTTTAGTTTTTTTTTTTGTCCTTAGCTGCACTTTCCATGAGCGTGGCCAGGCTCAGTAAACAAAAGAAGGTGGAATTATCAAGTCTGACTAAAGCATGAGACCGATATCTGTTGAAATAAGCTGAAAAAAAGAACAAGACTCACACAAAATGTACAGCCAAACAGAGAAGTGTGCTATAGCTACAAACCGACAAAGTCTGAAGTGCCAGAAAGAACAGTTTAGAGATTAAATTTCTGCAGGAATAAGGAGGCCGCACATTTGCCTCTGGCATAGTAGAAGAGACAGTTTTACAAAGGCAGACTGATTACCTTTGTTGCTGTCTGTTGTGCCATCTTTGGTTTTCCTATTTTGATTGTGTGACTTTTCAGTTTCCTGTGTGAAAAATTGAAATTATCAAGAAGCAACTAAAAAAAAGAAGCATATTTATAATACATTTCATGTTGTGACCACTTTTTTTTGTGAGGGGTTAGGAAGGGCGGCAGACTCACATTGATGCGGTGGAAGTTGACACTCCAATTGGCTCCGGCACGGGAGGGAATGAAGCGATCGCCATGCTTGCTAGGGGAGGACAGTGGGGAACTGGTGGGTGTCAGAGCTTGCACCACTCCTACAGCTTTCTACACAAGGAAGGCGAGGACAAAAAAGCATTTTCTGACTGGAGGCCAAACACAACCAGGCCTTGGACAGTGAACTCAAAACTTGATAACACAACAGGATGACAATTTAAGCGGCAGATGGTGCATTTGTTTGACATGTTAACAACAGGAGGCAACATTCACAAAACGCAGTCATTTGGCTGGTGAGGTCTTGTTTTCATTCAACACTAGTGACACCATCAAATGAACGAGACTGGCATGTTACACTATTTATTATTCCAACACATGGAGAGTAACACCCTCTCTCCCCATGTTAAATCCTGTCCTAACAATCCTCTTTGGCAGGGGCAATCATCATAGTATAGTCAAGATAATGGTCTAATTATGCTAGTTCTATGAGCAACCTTTGGCTAGATGATACTGGTTATGTTCTTTTCTTTTTTTTATTTGTGTGCAAGGACACAATAGATAAACCATACAGATGTGTCTATTATTTACTTACTATGGGGCTTGCGTTCTCATTTTGGATATTGATCTGCCTGAGCAGCCTGCACTCATAGTCCTGATCCATGACACCTGAAAACAAGATAAGACGAATTAACACAATTATAAAATCATACTAGAGTGTTCTAAATGGACAACTCAGATGACTAACAGACTGATACTTGCACACTACTGCTCATTTTATCTTACATACTACTAATGACTAATGGTCTGTAAAGAGGCCAGTTGTCTACAAATAATGAAGCAAAACATACATTAACAAATAACTGCTTTTGTACTCTTAGCAGTTGGGTCCCTTTAGTTTATAAATGACTAATAAACAAGATAAGTTGCTGTGTAGGGCAGCATATTATTTTCCATCAATCAATTGGTCTTATTTTTATTTTTCAATGTGTTTGCTAGTTGTTTAGTCTAAAAAATGTCATGAAATTAGGAAAAACGTCGTGCCATTAAACACTAATCATATGACCAAACTCCGCTGCCTACATGTATCACAGTTGTTATCATGTAAAGAAAGTATAACAGACATTCAGAACATGCACATCACATTTAACTGGATAATGGCTAGACACATTTCACTGTAACCTTCAGGTAGCACTCCGAGAGCTAGATAATCATAGGAGACATTTATTTGTGGTGATAGATCAGTGAATAACACTGTCTATTACAGTCACAGCATTGAAATCAATCGAGACGATTACAAAGACAAACCAAGCAACTGTTAAACTCCCCGGGTTTAGTTTACATCCTAGTTAAATTAACTAACGAGGGAAACATATGTTAGTAAATGACAAAGGCATTAGTTACAATGCACATAACCAGCTGTGGGAGGTTCAGTCTTCTGCTAGCAACAAACTAGCAACTTATAACTTGAAATCCATTCTAGCAGCAAGCTTTTGCTTATTGATTCCATGAAACAACAACCCTTTGTGGTGGTTGTCGCTGATGTGTAATTGCAATATTAAAATGAATCTTAAAAATTCTAACTCAATCATCCGGTATACAGAACTTTGCTAATGCTAACGGTAGTTCAGCTTGGCTGACCTACCATTAAAATACGCTAGCTGTTCGGCTAACATCGTTTGTTCACAATCTACACTTGTATTAAAACATACCGTGTCGCGATAAGCGTATCCAGCTACGCACCGTTAAACTGCTTTTCTTAACAGAGTCAATTTCAGTTGAAATATTTTCTTTTATGCGTTTTGCTCTTAAAAACAGAGCATTCAAAATACAAATGTTTTATTTTTACCAAGCGTTCAATTTGGGTTCGCAAAGCACCACGGGAAAGATGTGACGTTGCTGTTTTTGAATCACACAGTCAGCGTTGCCAAGGAAACGTGCGGTCTTATGAGTTCACTGCCTCCCAGATGTATTATCTTCCCACGCAGGCCTTCGAGTTTATTCTAAATAATGAAAATGCGTTTCACTACTAAAGTGACAGGCACAATCCTGTAAACAAGTGACAGCAGTTTGGCTCATGTTATATCTGAAAACACAACTGACGAATAAAAAAATGTATAGTGTGAATTACCCATTATTAAATTTTTTAAATCTTTCAAATTTTTATCAGTGTTAATACATTTCTCAATTTTATCGACTGATTCAAATCTGCACATTTTGATGTTACATTTTTGGTCAACAAATGGAACATTACATGAACCTATAGTATTTTTCAACTGGTTTTATTAATTTTAAAAATAAAAAAGAAATGACTGTGACAAAAAATAATCCAACATGAAATAAAAACAGACTAAAAACATTCTATGTGCAAAAGATTAAAAATTAAGACACAATAAGTGGTATATTCTCTGTTCACACTCCCAACTGCAGAAACAAATATTTTACCAATTTGCAGGATACAGCAATGCCCTATGGTGAATTGTGGCCAAATGCAAACTTTGACACGACATTAGGCTGAAACTCTGCTGTAGTTAAATTTTACTGTTACAATTTAAAACACCATTAGTGTGATATTTTAAAAATAAAGCCAAGAGATTGGTTTCCCAGCATGGTCCAACAGCTTAACTAAAAGAATCTGATTCAAAGTGCAGCAGAAAAGGTACAGTAGGTTCAAATAAATAGGTAAAATTCTAAGAAAAGGTTTGTTTGTTTTTTTAAAATCTCAATCAATTAAGGAATATGTGCAAAAGTATTGTTTTAACTAAACACTCTAAATGGGTAGATGATAAATACATACTGGAATAGCTAAAAATCTTTCTGATGAGCAAAAATTGAGTAAAATGTATGGCTTAACTGAGCAGAACAAAGACACCATACCATACAAGTCAGGACAGTTCACAACAAATGTTCATATGTTCTGCAGACTCATGCTTATACTGTATTACTACAGTAATATTCCAGAAAAAGTCACAGCACAAGTACAATTTTGCACAGACAATTAATCAAGGCAAAGTTTGAAAATAATACAGAAAATGGCATCTAAAATCCCCTAAACTAAAATAAGACTGTTGTTTTCTCCACAAACCCATGTTACCTGTAATGACTATCTATAAAATAGATAAAAATAAAATCAGAATGATCACTTATCATGGCCTCAGTTATCCTGCTCTATCTCCTGTATATAAGTTACAGCTACACTGAATACATTCAAAGCAGTGAAAAACTAAACATGCAGAGTGTGACTGGTATTGCCACAGCTTTCAAACCAGTGTGGAGTGCACACTGGAATGGCAGGTCTACAGGGAGGAGGTGTCTCTTGGCATAAATTGCATCCCATTGGTGACCTGAAAGCGAGTTTCTTCTGATATACCATACTGCTCCAAGGGGTCCTGCAAAGGAAAAAAAGATAACTAAAGGCTGTAAAAAGGTTTAGTGTGACAGAGCAAATTCACTGTTATTAAATCAGAATCATGATTTATATTTAAATGACTTGTTTAATGAATACACACAGACACAAAAACAAAAAAAAAGTGCATCATTTTACTCCTTATCTGAATGGATGTCTACTTATGCACCACAAATAAAATTCCTTTTATATTTCCATTATATTGTTGTAACTCTCAGCAGCAAAAACTGTACCAAAACCCCTATGGTTTTCTTTGTTGAATTGAAGCACCATCTGTGTGACATTTAGGGCACTGAGAAGTTGCTGTGAAGAGTCTCACCTTGCCTGTGAGCCTGTGGATTTCAGTTCGATAGTATATGAGGTTCTTTCTCATGAACTCGTAGCTGCAAGAGATGAAATGACAAACTGCTGTGACATTCGGGGGAAACATTGGTTAAACAAAAGCAGTAAGTAGTACAGCTGCAGTAAAGCTTGGAGTAAACAAATTTGTGATAAACCATTCTTGAGTTCAGTATATAAGTTGTTACCCGCTACAGTATAAACCAAATAACTGCAGCTTACAGTCTACCAATGTTAAAACAATGGCAAGAGTCTTCTGTCAACCTGACAGTAAAATGTCAGTTACTGCAAAGATAAACAAATGTAGATCCGGGTGCCTGTTAAGAGTCGGTCTTACCTGGCCTTGACAATGGAGTCTATCCACTTCTGACACTGCTCTTCAGAGCCGCACTCGAACAAATACTTCCTCTCTGCTTCATCCATATATGCTACAATCAGATAGGTTACAGTTAAATGGAAAAAATATAATGCAAATGCACAAATAGTAGATGTAATATAAAGGCATAAGTAATTGTTTTGATACATTTCTCTATTGCTGTTCAGTGTTATAATAACAGTGCTGTTTGACTAGTTTATTCTCATTCATCTTCTCTGACTTAAAGAACTTGAGAGCAGTCAGTAGGTGACAGACTGTGGGTTAGTGAATGTAACTGGGGATGTTGTAGCTCACCGATGGAAAAGCTCTGGTTGTCCTCTTTCTGTACTCGACACTGCTCCAACAACAAAGCTCCAATTGGCTGACAAATACAAATTTTATTTTGACACATCTGGATTTTCTTTACTAGAAAATGCTTCAATTCATCACAAGGTACCATATGACAGTAACAAAATGAGCATACTGTGACAATAACTGCAATTTGGATGTGTGTTCAAATAATGATTCAACTGACCTCTTCCTCATCAGTCCGGAAGTAAAACAGGAAGTTAACGACAAGTTTCACTAGCCTCTTCTTTAGAACTGCACAACAAAGGAGAAGTGAGATGAAACTCAGAGCAGACGGTGCAAAAGCAAACAAAGTTGTCACTGCAGCTGATGAGTGATATGGACATTATCTATCTCTGTTGGGGGCTCATCCACCTGAACTTTTGCACAGGATGCAAGAAATGGAAACAGGCGAGATAAACGTTACCATCTCCTTTCTTAGGTCCTCGCATGCCCATTTCTGCTGCCATCTCTGAAGGCTGGCGGCTCAGAGACACCAGCTCTTTCTCGTTGAAACGCATCACTGACGCAGGTAGACACAAGAGGTTGAAGAGTGACAACACCGTACACTTTCGTTATTGCTGGCTTTCCCGACCGAAAACATAACAACGTAGTCGGCTAACACTAGTACAAAACTGTAACTGTGGGGTCTATGCCGTGAAATACAGGTTACTGCTTCATCATCTTGTGTTCTCGAAGTGTGCCCGTGTGTATCTGATCATTCGTAGTGCCAAACAGCGCTAGACTTCACGCCACACTGTGACCGGACACACTCCCTTCTTCTGCTACTACTAGTGGCGGAGCAGACTGGACGCTGCAGTGGCGCGTTGCTGCCCTCTGTCGGTTATAATTTGCTGCACCGACTCATTTTGGTCGCTCATTTCTTTTAAGTTATTTTGTATCTTTTTGTGATTGCTAAGCATCAGCTTTTCTGTTTATTTTGTTGTTGGCTTTTTACAAAGAAATGTTTACAGCCGCTTCATATAGAGACTCTGGCCCACCTGGACCTGTGCAAGGTAGGCCCTTTCAGTGTTCCATCCATGCTAGAGTGACTTCCTCTCTTGCGGATAGTCCTATTAATAATTGATTAACCAAAATTTTACAGTAAAAAATCAAGGATTGAATTAATGTCCAAACAACACAAAACGGTGAATCTGAGCATTTGTTTTTGTTTTTTCCTCTCCCATTAATCTTCTTACAGTGTCTCCGATTTATCTAGTTACCATATGAGGGGACCTACCCCTTGGTTGGAATCTCGGGAAAAATGTGGTCTATTATCGCTTTGTTAGGAAAGTCGCTCTGGCCCATGGAGTATGGACTGGCACCCACTCCAGTCCAGCAGGTGGCGATGTTTCTGAAGTTGCTTAAAAACCAATGAAGAATCCACTTGGGCATGCGCGTTAAAATAAACGTCGGCGTGATCCTTCCTTACGCTGCGGAGTTGGTGAGTGTTTTGAACAGAGAAATTATGTATAAACTATCATATAGTTTAGTTTAAATTTCTAACTAACCTATACTATTATTATGTATACGGAGTGGGATATTTTTGTAGTTTGATCAATCCTTTGTGAAAACCCATTCACTACTAACAGCCTATACCGTTAGCTTAGCTATAGCATTGTCATAATGTAGCAGTAGCTAGTGATACGTTATGCCATCCTACTTGAACGTCCTGTGGTTTGTAGACAGCAGTCAATAGAATGCATCTGTAGTGTAACACATTACAACCACACTATTGACTGTGTACATGTGTATAAGACATACTTTCAAATCATAGTGTGTTATATTAGCAAAAAGTGGATTGCAAGTAATGCACTGTGAAGCTAATGCTGTAATGCTGACACACAGGTTGTAGTATGATAACACAGTAATATCATTATATGCTCCCATCCTTGCAATGCTCTATGCCTAGACGTTAACCAGTCCCCTCTCTCTCTCGCCTCCAGATGGTTCAAAACGCTGCTGCTCGTATTCCGACCAGTACTAGAAAATTCGAGCATATAATCCCGGTAGTGGCCTCTCTCCACTAGCTTCCACTCCGCTTTAGAATTAATTTTAAGATGCTGATTTTTGCTTTTAAGGCTCTTAATGGTTTGGCACCATCCTACCTCACTGAATTAGCGCACTGGCACAAACCTACAAGGTCTCTCAAATCTTCAAGCCAGTTTCTTTTAGAGGTTCCTAGGGCCAGATATAAATAATGGAGTGACGGTGCTTTTACTGTTTGCAGCCCCTAAATTGTGGAATACTCTACCTTTTAATGTTAGGTCAGCTACTGACCTGACTACTTTTAAATCATTGCTTAAAACATATTTATTTGCCTTGGCTTTTAATACATAGTAGGGCCTGATGCATTCCTTTTAATTTATTGAATGTATGTCATCTGTGTGTCTGTGTTATTGTGCTGTTTTATTTTTACACGGATCCTTTTTATTTTATTGTGGTTACTGTGATATTATTCTGCCTATGTAAAGTACTTTGGTCAACTGGATGTTGTTTTTAAATTGTTATATAAATACATTTGATTTGATCCTTGGCAACATGTTTGTATGTGTTTTCTCCAGATAATTGGGAAGGATCTACTTTAAATACCTGTCTAGATTAGACTGGGCCAGGTGTATCTGCGTGTTTGAGTCCATTATCTTGCAAAGATGGATTTCCAGCATCGAGCTGGAGGGAAGACGGGTAGCGGTGGCGTGGCGTCTGCCTCTGAGAGTAACCGTGACAGAAGGGAGCGGTTGCGTCAGCTGGCCCTGGAGACAATTGACATTAACAAAGATCCATATTTTATGAAAAATCATTTAGGCTCCTATGAGTGCAAGCTTTGCCTAACCCTTCACAACAATGAGGTGAGGATAAACAATGAAACTAGATTGTGTTAAATGTCAACTTGGAGGCATTTCATCTGAGTAGCTGAAGAGAAAAATTGTAAACTAATCTCCTTTGCATTACAGGGCAGCTACTTGGCTCACACACAAGGAAAGAAACATCAGACCAACTTGTAAGTCCACATCTTGTGTTGAAACTAGCACATCACACATGGAAACACATGGGCTGTTGCTTTACTTTTTATCCCTTGGTTCAGTGAAACTGTCATTTTCACATGTTCAGTACACGGCTGCATGCTGAGGACAGAGGTATTGTTCTGTCAAAATGTGCGGGTGTTCAGCTGAACAGTAGTTTAATCAAAGAACCAAACCAGATTTACACATAACTGCACAAGGAAACAGGTGCATAGAGTTTGTTGTGTTTAGTGTGACTGATTTATGGTTTATCACCACAGATCCACAATTGAGAAACTTATTTGACTTTATGTTTCCACTTTGTTCATTAACCTTGTGGTTTATTTCAGAGCACGGAGAGCTGCCAAAGAGGCAAAAGATGCTCCTGCTCAGCCAGCTCCAGCGAAAGTGAAAGTTGAGGTCAAGAAGTTTGTCAAAATTGGTCGACCAGGATACAAAGGTAGGCTGTGTAGTTATGTACCAGTGCATTCATTTAATTAATGTTGTGGTTTCACTCCAGAATTATTGTATTTTTATATATGCCCCATGTGTTGTTGTTTTTTTATTTTTTATTTTTTGTCTTTATAGTAACCAAACAGAGGGACCCAGAGACTGGACAGCAGTCCTTACTTTTCCAGGTTAGTGTGTTTGGTAGGAATCACTATAATAAATCTTGAAGATTTTTTTGTTGTTGTTTTGGAATGATTCTTAAACAAAGCAGTCATTAATACACAATTAAATGTGCCAGAGAATGGGAGAGCATTCATATGGAAGCTCAGTATATGAGTTAAATGATGTTTACCCATTATTTGGCCCCAAAGAGGGGGGTGTCAGGCCATGCTATCATAAATCTTCAGAGCCCCATAATAATCAACACCATTTTCCAGACCGAACTTACCTTTAACATAAGATATTTCTGAACCTTATCCTCACCCAAGCAAAGAGCAGATATGTGTCTTGGCACAGCATCTGCACTGTATTTGCTCAGGTTAAGCAGTGGTTGGCCCAGCTGGCTTGTAATGCCAGTCACCTCTGAGAGCTGGGACTGCTCAGTTGTCCAACCACTGACACTGTTCTACCAAGGTTGTCAAACAAAAGAAGACTATTAGGATAATAATCACCTTTATTTGGCCAAGTATGTCTCACACACACAAGGAATTTGTTTCCAGTACAGAACCAAGGCAGCCATCTGTGGCACCAACTCAACCGATGGTTCTAACCATCGGGGGCAACTTGGGGGTTCAGTGTCTTGCCTGAGGACACTTTGATATGTGGACTGCAGGCACAGAGATTCAAACCTCTGACCTTCCGGTTGAGAGATGTATTATCACCAACACAAGTTCTGTGTGGGTGTAGGAGTGAAGGCAAGTCTACAGGGTCATCAGGTGGGCACCTCGTCATTAACTTGTTTCATTGAGAAGGCTCAACAGTGTGTTCCACCATCCCAGAACCACCCTCACCTCTTTGGCTGCACCCACACACCCAACACAACCCTTCATCTACTCAGGCTAATTCAACTGTTACCAAACAGGCACTAGCAAATATTTAATAACCGCTGATGTAGCCACCAAACACTTCAAATAGCTCGCCAGATAACTAGCCACACTTCGGCTTCCTTTCATACGGCACCACCCTGTGTTAATATTCATTCCAGCAAGCCAAACTTCCTCTGTGCCCTCATGTTAGCTTGCTCATGCCAACACCAGGAAGTAGGCACTTTTGCTAAGCCTGTCCTCTTATGATAGTTTACCTCTGTTCAACAGGCATAATCCTCACATATGTTAGCATTTATAAATCATATACCTATTTTTACCCAATTCACACACCTTTCTTCTGCTCCAAAGCCACTCACTGGACCTTGCTGCACTCAGCTAGATTCCTAATTACCTGTTTTAGGCTCTGCCCTTATATACCTAACTCACCTAGCAGGGAGACAGCCGACTTGTCTACAAATCCCCTACAACCAACCTCCACTGAGCGAACTTTACCTTTTCAGTCACACTCCTCTGCCTCCATGGTTAATTCTGTGTATTTCAATTTCTTCCTCTCATAAACTGTATCTACAGCATCCTCCCAGGGAACTGTAAGCTTGACAAAATAGACAGTCCACTGTGCTTCTGACCACAACACAAGATCTGGTCTGAGGTTAGTGTTGACTATCTCCTCAGGAACTATGAGCCGATTCTCTAAACCAACTTTCGTTTGACATTAAAGCTCCACTTAAGAGAGAAGCTGTAAACTTATCTCGTTTGTGCAAAGTATTGCTTTTGAATAGATTTAACAAAGACAGACTTTTCAAAGCTCTGGAACAAAGTTAACATGTTCCTAAACAGTCAAAGAAACTCTTGTCTGAAAAATGACAAAAACAGCAATGGAAAAAACAGGGTGAAAAAGTTTTTTTTTTTTTTTTTTTGGTCCTAGCTTTTCTATTACTGCCCAAGACTTGTCGTACAATTGTGTTGTGTACTTGCATGTTGTTATACTGCTGTGTAATTAAATATGTTAACTAAGATAATGGGACAGATGGGGTGTCTCACACACTACAAATTCATTGGGGCAACTGTGATTCAGTGGGTAGAGCAGTCGTCTCTCAACCAGAAGGTTGGAGGTTCGAATCTTGATGCTTGCAGTCCACATGTCGAAGTGTCCTTGGGCAAGACACTGA